ATTTTGTCGTGAGTAGCTGCAACATTTGCAGCTATACTTCTTTATCCTTTGAAACGAATCATTATATACGTTCTCGGGCGGCCCGTCGGTTTCGAATTTCCTGGGGACTCTCGTCAGACATCGGAAGTAGGTGGAGGCTGGGCATACATCGTAGGTGATAACACGAGAGGTCCGATTGCCGTATCCGACCGAGAGAACGACTGACATCTCCAGAAAACTTGTTTGTACGTGCCTCTTTCCCAAGCCAGCCTCCTTCACTGCTAGTGGGAAAGAGGGTTTTGTTAACGGCCTTGTCGACGGTTTTTCTCAGTTTTTTCTCCACTGTCGTTCCACTTCGCATCTCTATACTCAGTTTCAATCGCCATAATACCCCCTTATTGAGCCCGACTTTTGCCTTTAGTGATAAAAGCAGTACCGTTGGACTCCTGCTGAATACACACCAGTGAGATCTATCCATGCTTATAAGACGATGCTAGCGTAAGGCTACTTTCAGACATCCTCACAACGTTTCGATACTTATCAGCATGTTTGGATTTGATCGAACGAGAGCTGCGGAAGTGAGTTTTGTTACCAATAAGTATTGTTTCTAAAGGCATTGAAAGTATTTCCTTTTTCGTCACTCCTGTATTGTGGACTTCATTATCGCGTCTACCGGTCTAGCATTAAATGTTTGCATTTCTTGGAACTACTCACTCTCACCCCATCATCCCTGTCTCTACCCCTAATTGGAAGAGATCTGAAATTCATACTTCACCACTAATCATTGCTCGACATTTTGATGCAAATGTAATCCAAGCATTTCTGCATTGTTGAAGGAGTGAAATCCGTTTTCATTGTCCACTCAACAGTATTCTGATCTGATCTTATCGTTATTGTTAGTATGAGTTCATATTAAACATAATGCAATCATTAAGGTCCTTGGAGAGGAGATTTCCGAGATGATTATGGCACGCGAAGATTACTGCAAACCTGTGCGATTACTGCTCCGAGAAGTGATTCGGTTCTTCCATCGGAACGAGTTCCCGTTTTATACCTTGGCCAATAGTTACCTTTCCACTATAGTGGATGAAGTGGCCAAGAGTGAACATGGTATCCAAGTAGGTGGTTTCTCCATCCTTTTTTCCGATCGATAGCTAACTGAACCAGAACGTAAAATGTAGAGCTTCGCTCCACACCAATGGATAGGAAACACCGCTCCCTAGCGATACGAGAAGCTGTTGAAATCTGTTTATTTGTACTCTATACTCCTTTACTCCAGATTTTCAACAAACCATTTTTGGTGATTTCCTGACGTAGGGGTGTGGAGTATTACATGAAATCTCTGCAGGATGGGCCAGAAATTACGGTAAACGCGAGTGCGCACGGTCAAAGCCACTTCTTGCCTAATCTCTTCATTTTCCCCTTCCTTTTTGGCCATGATGTGATGCAGGATAATTTGTTCTCACCATGAAAACTAAAAATGATACGGCCCCACTTTCTTCTACGAATTTTGGGGCGCGTGCGCGCGCCGATCCGCAGGGCACACGATCGATAGTGACGTACCCCTGCCCCGCCTGAACTTGTGGTCGCAGATGCTTTCAAATTACAGGCCACACAGCGTTCCCACGCGGGCAGACAAATCGCCGAATCGACTCGGCCGCGCTATGTCGTCGTATACGCTCTCGCCGCGCCGCGCTCAAACCGTGAAGAAAGTGGCGGAGCCCAAAAAATGATAACACTCTCAACATAGTAAATAAACCTGGATCCAGCTCCCAAATTGAAATACGAGTGTCGGCGCGCTACCTACTAGCATTTTCACCATAACAACAGACGCTCTTATGGGTAACCGTTAACCGCCCTCAATAATTAGAAAACGCGCTAAAGTCTGCTAAGCGAAATAAAGGATGGAAGTCCCAGTTGGCATCACGAATCAAATATCATGTGCAGAAGCTCGTTCTCCTCCTTGCTACTTTCAAAACTTGCTTTCATACCACCAAAATGAGGAAGTTGATGTAAAAGACCACTCCTACACTCTTAAGACCCAATGTCAGACAAAAAGCCACATGAGTACATTACAATGGACAGATGTCTTTTCCACGCCGCCTGACAAGGCCACCAGTGAATTATGACAAAAATCCTGCAAAGAGCGGTTTTTTGTGCTCGCAGTCTTCTAACAGCCCTTACCTGCTAATCACTCACCGAATTCAGCCGGGTTTTATGCATGGTAAAACTGGCGTCAGGAGCAAAACAAAAAAATCTGATTTTTTGAAAGAGTCACGTGAGCGCCTTCTATTAATGTCGTATACGGTAAAAGATTTCAACCTAGCTGCTTGGTGGACTGTGCCTAGCACTTTTTGAGGATGATGCTCCCCCAGCAGGTCGCTCATTCGTATGATAGTGATGCATAGTCTTGGTTGCCATAATTTTGGGCTCACCATTTATTGAGATGTACGCAAACGTTCCGTTGCACTCTGTAAAACTGTAGTTGCTTCTAATTATATTGACTTCTCGATGACCTACACTCTCTGATCAGATCACGTCTTTCGTTGTGCATCAGAACTGCTGAGTGCTGTTACGTTGATGTCAATCAGTGCATCGGTACGTGAAGCGTTCAACGCTCGTCGCACCGGCACCAACTATTCACCAGATCTTTTTTGGTTCATGATCGCTTCGAGAATGCCTTGTCCGAGTACTTGGAAGGAATAGTGAGGTTAAGATTTTTGTTGTTGCCGTTTCTATCAGTACATGATTCCTTAGAGATGAATTCACTGACAAACAGATTTTTTATGGAGGAAGTGTGCAATTGTTTCAGATGGTTACAGGGAGTCCGTCACATATTTCCATCCGCCAGAGAATATCTTCAGGCCTATCATAAGCTGTTGTTTATGGAGAGGGTAAGTCATTTTGCCAGGGATTTTGTAGGCCCATATAATTTGATTTGTTTATGAGTTATTGTTAAGGTCCCACCAAGTTACTGCGCCTTGAACAAGTCGCAACTGAGCCGGAAACATTAACCTCTTTTAAGGTTATTTTGAGTGCCGCTGAAGGAAACTGTATGAGAAGGAGTTTTCAATTCAGAATGCAAGCGTTGTGGACATGAATTGGGCAGTTGTACATTTCTCGGTGACCACATCACAATGCTGGACAATCAAGAAGCAATACGTCTCATTGAAGGTTTGACAAAGAGAGCTGTAGAAAATCGTGTGGCGGCAGGTTTGTTTCACTTTGGCATACTTTCTTGTAGACGATATTCAATAGTCAGAATTATGAACAAAGAAATGCAGTTGGAAACCAATGTTCTTTTTTTTTGCTTCATACCTATTGTACTATTAAATGATTCCCGTGTGATCATCTTGGTTGCCAAACAGATGTCACCGATCAATTCTTATCTCCTTAGCTACAAAATAGGTCATTTTCGAGACAATTTTCCACATCTGTCCCTTCTCTTCACATTTTTTTTAATGAGAAACTTCGCGCATTGTGTAAAGTTACAATTATAGATGCTCATCTCCCATTGATAACGTTATCGAATCCAGTACAGTTAATTGACAGACTGTTCCAGCTCAGTGGATATCGCTGGCAACCTGGTGTTGCTATGCCGTGAGTTCTCTTTTTCATGTTGTCAATGTTTCCGACAGAAAAGTTTGTAATATTTATTTAAGAGATGAGTTTAACTGTTTTGCGACAAAGAAATACTACTGGAAGGCGTGGTACATAGTGATGATGTGGGCGTGTGCAGGTACTTCTTAGCTGCTGCTTTTTAGTTTTCGAACATCAAACTGTGATTTTAGGAAAGGTTGGCGACGAAATGGAGAAGATTTATAGCACTTACCCACAACTGCGTTTGTTTATTCACATGGTTCTCGTTAAGTATGTGGTTAAGTGATCTCAAACGTATTCGTGTGTAATCTTTATTTTTCTTTCAGGTCTTTTCGTTTTCCGTTAGAATTTGAAGGAAAAACACCGGAGGAATGGGAAACTGTAGAGACAGAGACCGCCGAACGGGAGAAAGAGGTTAGTCGGACATCTTGTCCAAGCAAGCCATTTACTACCCTTAGTGAATATGCAGAATCTCTGCCAATAATTAGCACTGTATGTTAAGTGACGAAGTATTATGCCGTTACCTATTTTGTATTTATACCGACCACTGTTGGGGTTTATCAGCTAATTTATCCTGCATTAGCAGGAATGACAGAGTTCTTCATACATGTATGTTTTTAAAAGCGGTGAAGCTGTAGTGATAGCATCAACATCGACTGCAAACTCCTCAAGTTTGAAGAATGTGGAGGAATTGCTAGTACATAAATGGTCTACCATAGCTCTTTCGAAGTGGTGTACCGCGACCTTCCAAATGATGCTGGCTAAACAGGGATTTGAATTTGTTCAAATAACTCCTGAACCGTAAACTACTAACAAAGAAATGCTGATAAGGCTGAAATGAGGTTCATATGAGGAAAAACCGAGAAATGTAGAAGGTCGTATAGGTGTAGGAGAGAAAAGATAGGAAAAGCAAGACGTGGATCTTAAAAAAAGAAAAATAGTAAAGGGTGAGAAGTGCAAGTATTGGTCGATTCGAAGAGAAACGATACGCATTTCACTTCCTCTCAGAATATACTGACACCTCTAATCGAATGCATCAAATCATCTGACCTGTACCATTGATTAGGGGGAAGAGGAGCAGGAGAGGAGGACGTGCTGATTAAAATTAGTCGTGTTTTTGTCCTTCAGGCAGGTCTGATACCAACTAACCTCTAACCCGAAGGGATGCAATGCTTGGTTAGCTTGGAGCGTACGGTTCAGTTTCCCATCCCCCGCGCATGGATGAGGCGGCCATGCCACTACACCACTTCCGCACGCGAAAGGTTAGCAGCCAAGCACGCAGTTTGTTCGATTTTCAGGCCGTTTTGGTTATGGAATCTTTCTTTTCAAAATGCAGCATTGACGAAGAAAATTCGAAGTTGTTGGGGACGGTATGCTTCAACCAACCACGGTATGTTATTTCGTGAATTTTCCGTTGCACACTACATATGCTTTGAAGTTGGCTCATAGTGATTGCTAGCAGTGATTTTCAAATCAGATGTATAAAATTGTTGTAGAGGGCTGCCACGACGGCCACCTGAACCGGTCATCGCGATTCTCGAATAGAAGGGCGACGTTTGTAAGCCGCGCATCCATACACCTTCGACAGTTTGGTCCAAATCCATAGTTTCGTTCGGATCCTAAACAGCGTTTTTATAAAATAACAGTGAAAAGGAATGACCGAGAGCCTACCGTAAATAAAACAGTCAATACAAGCTTAGCACCAAGGCGCTCGCGGACGTTAAAAGCCGTTCGTTTGTCGAGGAGGAACTGAACGGCGCTCACACAGTCATCCTGCACGGAAGCATTGGCAAAAGCTGCCCGTACTCGCGTCACTATCTGAATAGTTGAATATGGAGTTGAAGAGTACTCTAGTGTAGTTTGTCCTCAGAAAAGACAAGAATCAATTTGACATCAGATGACTGAACAAACCCAAAGGTAATGTATAATAAAATTATATTATGGTCCTGCTCACTATAAAAGCCATAAGAACTCAATACTGCTTAATCCAGAACAAATTGCTTATCCGGAAAACACTCACCGTGTGAACTGCGCTTCCTTCGTCCACTTTGGCTACTTTTCGCCGCTGCAGATCGTAGTGAAGGTACTGACATAAAGTTGATGCTGGCATCGCTTCAATAGCAGACGAATTGGTTGCAAAAAGTTCCTTGAAAATACCAACAGTTGTTATAGCTAAGATGATCACAAGGATTTACTGCCATAAGTTCCTCTGCATAGCTTTTGAGGAAAAATAGAGTGATTTATTCAACCTTCCTAGGGCCGCCATTACTACGGCTTTTGGAAGGGTTTCAGGAGAAATGAGCTTACTTGTATTGCCGGCATGGCCTTCGATGGACCAACATTACGAATAAGCTGGTCAACCATATCAGGCTGCCTACATTCACATAGTCTCGAAGCCATGCCACAGTCCACTGCTAGAACCTCTAGCTTTCGTG